ATATATATATATATATCATAAAATTGGAGAAACTCTAACCACTAAAAGCAAATTGTTGCAAGTGACCACCAGTTCTCTTCATCTCTTTGGCCGATGCGTATCCTAACCTCTCAAAGATTTTTTGGTCCTTAAATTATATTGGGATCATTTGTGGCCGCTCAAGTATTTACTCCTACCGCTCCTTTGATGTACAGTTTGTAGTTCCCATTAGGATCTTTGACAATTACCGACATTCTCTTTCGAATTGAGTCGAACTCAAGAACGGCAACCAGATCGTACTCTAATGTTGTTCCCAGCTTTAAATCATCAAAGCAGATTTCGGGTGCAGGAGAAACTTCAAGAACTATTGGAACAAAGCCACCTACTACATTAACGATACATTTTCCTGGAGGTCGCTTCTTGAAAACGAATCCAGCATCAGCTGCTAATTCCAACAGAGCATGTTCGTCTGAAAGGAGATTTGGGGAATGTTACTCCAAAAAAGCTCAAAAGCAACGTTGTGTGTGAGGGGAATGAGCGTAGAGTCAATGATGTCTTCTAACATTTTTGAGTTTACATTGTTAATAGTAGAGACACTGATAATCGACCCATGATAATGCGCTTAGTGTGTATATATGTGCGTAATGTATATACATATGTATATTATCTATTTTAATGTATGTGTTTCTGTCAAGTCCATTGCGAATTTAGTTCATTTCTTCTATACGCAGTATAGAGCAACTAATTGTTGAATTATCGCTGAACATTGGCATTTCTTGCGAGGGCATACTGAGACGAATGCTCATTAGTTGTACATTTGCTGTGGATATGAATGGGTTTGTAAGTCGATGTCTGTTACGTGAGCTTCTTATCCAGTCTTGGTAAGGAGATTTCAGAAGGCCAGAGCAAACCTCTCCGAGGAAAGGTGACGCAGTGGTCATGTAACAATAAGTTGGCAAAACATGTTTCTCTACTTTGAAGCAAACGATGATATGCATTAACTTGCCAATAACCCAGAATTTCTGAGAGGTAGAAAAGTTTAAGAAACTCCGAGCAGGTGAGTAGTGCCTTACTCTAATTTAAAACATTACCTGGGGAGGTAGCATGAAAAAATGGTCGCTGGTTGCCACTCGAGTTCTTGTCCGTAGTGGCAGTGTGGCAGATAGCGCATGCGATTAGGAATTCACGTATTTGTGTAGCATTTTTCTAAATTCGTTTGTAAGCACGAAATATGTCGTAAATACTTTCCAGCATTCACGCCCACCATTTCATTGGTTGTCATATGATTAATCAATTTTTTTGGTGAGAAGTCCTTTTCTCGTCGACTTCTTCGATTTGCGTATTTCACACCACCAACGGAACACATGCGAAATCTCATACAGTTTTGGGTCAAAGTGCCAGTCTTATCGGACATTACGTATTTCACCTGAAATATAATTTTCATGAGAATAATATTCAACAGTTTATGATAATCAACCAATAAACCAATTCACGTTGCCTAGCTCGGAGTTCAGGGAAAACATCTTTACGTCGGGACCTCTACCACTTTCATCTATCATTTTTTCATCCTAAAAGCGGTGCATTGCAAACCGGAGTTTTCATCAGTTGTTATGAACTATAAGAAAGATGACAAATTAGAAATTCTTCAACGAATGCCAAGGTCACGTTTTGTGCATTATTTAGAATAGATCTACAACAGGTGTGATTTTATTAGGAAGTGTTGATGGCAAACTGGCGAAAATGAGAAAAAATTTTATAGCTCCAGTGCTGAAAGCTTTTTGCAGCTAATCTCACAAAAATGTTCATCAATATCAGTTCAAAGGTATATAAATATTGAACAAATAGACGCTGTCACCTTTTGAATAAATGTTCCCTGAACTATTTGAATCATCTCTAAGGTGACATATAAGGAAATTGGGATGAATCCACTGAACAATACTAAGCACTGGAGAAAGATGGACATGAGTGAATCTGAAAGCAAATATTTCTAGAATACTATAAAAATGAAAAAAGATGTGTTGACTATTTCAACATTGTTTACTTATAAATTGTCTTTTTGAGCAGAAAAATGGAACAAAGGACAACAAAAAAGTAGTTTTTGCATGAGGAAGATGCAATTACCATCAAAATGGTTCGTGAATTGAGAGACAAGGAATGGGACTGGCTGTGCTAGACGACCTAAGATGGAATGGGCCACACACAACAAGAGTACAATGCCAAATTGTGTGAGCATCACCGAATTTGTAATGCTGGCAAGGAGCGAACTGCAAGAATGTTTTATCAAAAAAGCCGTTGCAAAGCGCACTAGCCTTTACCTCTTCATGACCCGCTTGATGCTGTTTTTTATTAACTTAGTGTCCGATCCTGTGTACAAAACGATACCATATATATTATCTGTGTTTTTAAGACGAGCTCCTCTCAAAATTATGTGTGCATTTGCTGAAAAGGTCAACGATTACCGAAGTTTTAATTGAAAGTACAAAGCACAATGCCTTTCACCTACATAGTGCGACCATGGCAGGCGTTACAACCCCATTATGTGGTGTTGAGTCTTTGGCTGCAAAACCCAGAGTTAGATAGTTAGGACGTTCTTGACTGTTGAGAGTACTAGCATCTACCCATAATATCCAACTTTAAGTGTTGGCTCTTTTAATGCTACTGGACAGAGAGAGTTTCTCTTCGCGTTAGCACGATCAAATAACGATTTGCCGAGTTCAGTGAGTAGATTTAGGCGAAGATTGTAGCTTACTGATAAAGTCATGGCTCAAGCTGACACTATCCTGTTGCGATGAGAGGAGTGCTGAATCTCCGGTTAGATACCCTTGGAATTCATAAATATTACGGTTGGGAGCATCATACACTATTTCTGTATTACTGTTCCAAAACTCCTAGAAAGAAGTGTGATCAATTGGATTTTTCGTTCGGAAAATCTTTACTATATTTGCCTTTTCTAACCCTATAATTGGCTAAAATAACTGACGTTCATACTTTCCTCGCAATTGCGAAGTTTTGTGGGGGCAGCCTGTCTGACCTTAACGCAAATTGATCGCATTCTGTTAACCCAACTTGATGAATTGAATGTCATAACATTATGGAACTGAGAAACACTTTACCTTTAAACTGCTCTCTCCGTCCAGATTTGCAGTCTCAACGTAGGCAACCGAACCCGGCTCGGATGTTGCGAGAATGAGACAATCAGCCGCAAGTTGTTCTCCATTTACTGCTCTTATTAACTGACCCACATGAAGCTGAGAAAAAAGCTTTACTGATTTCAAGGCCGAACTTGGAAATATTAATCTGCTACACTCCTCAACAAATGTTCTCAAAATTACGTTCAAATGACTACGCCTAGGAAAAATTATTTAACATAACAGTCTTCAACCAAGAACACACCATCAAAATGACAAAAATTGAGAATTCTCTCATTAAGGAAGTGCTTACCTCACACCAGCGCACTGCTCTCCAACCATTGTCTGTGTGTGCGAAACACATTTGATAATTCACTTTGCGGTCTCTTACTCTTCGTCGCTGGAACTATTCGATGCAGCTATACTGTTCTGCAACACTTATAACACTTACCAAATCTTCGTAAATTTCCCTCACAGCAGAGCAGCCTATGATAAATGTTAACGGCACAACTGTAGCTTGTCGACCGAAAGGAGCCAAGCCCGGAAGGAACTTAACACATAATTTAGAAAATAGTCATGAATGATCGTGCTACGTAGGCATATATTCAGAAAAAACCATTCACATATTTCCCTGGTGCCATCTGAATTCTTTGTAGATATTTTCTTCCTTGTATGGTTTTTTTAAGGGACTAATTGAACTAAGTGAGTTAGAACGAATCCTTTCTAGAGGCATTCCAAAAACTTGCTACCTTCATATGGCAACAATTACCAATAACTAATTTTTTTTTCCAAACATCATAAGCGAGTCATAATGTCTTATATTGTTCGCAAGTATTGCCCTGCAGCTTTCCTTTTTTAAGTGGTTTTAGAAAACATACCAAGGAGATGATATATACTAATTGTACATAACAAAAGAAAAAGAAAATGTATTGACATTTTTAACGATTAAACCTTCTTCTAAACCAAACTGTTCTATGTAGAATAAGATTCTTGTACTTTACTGTTCAAATTTCTTGCGGAGTTTACACTGAGTTGAATTGGTAAATTCTTGGAGGTGGTGTAGTAGATAAGCAAAATGAACGAGTACCATTACCAAAAAGCGAATGAAGTGGCATAGTTTGATTACACTTTTGATCATCGCATGATG